GATCTTATCAAATTAGCGAAAGTATTTATGAGTAAATTTCTGAAAGATATAAATATAAAGTATGATGTTAATCTTTTTCAAGTAAATATTATTATGATATCCAATGCTACTGATTGAAACTTTTTCAATTGTCGCAAATGTGTATCAAAATTTTTCTCGCAATGCAGTATGTTAGTTATCTCTAGTACATAACATCATAAAATTTAGAATATCTAGAATATTTAGAGTATGTAATATTAATCCTTTATATCTAATATTTACTTACTAATATTTACTATATATACTTTTAATGTAAGAAAATCCACTTGGTGCCTATTTTAGAGGAGAATATTCTTGATGTAAGTGCAATTTTCTTAAAGGAGAGTACAATCTTTTCAGTGTAAATGCAGGATGTTTCGCGATAATCGATATCACATTCGGAAAAAGACTTTCGTAATTATCCGAATGCGAGCACGGAAATTACAAAGCTTTTTAATGTACGTCAACAACTATATATAATTTTCTAGAATATTTGACAGTCAAAATCTCTGTAAATAAATAGAACATATTCAAGTACAAGATATATTTCGAATAACATCATTGTTGACATAAAAAAAAAGTCTGTAAAAGAGGAAGAATTCATGATTTCATTTGACGTTAATTAAAGTTGCTTAAATTTAAAGTAACAATCTATAAAACAATGAACATAAGTTGAGCAAGACAAGTAAATACACTGGGAAAAAATACTTGAAAATTTATTTATTATTACATCAGGATACAAATTTTTCTCTCTGCGGATATATAAACTTTATATCTCACAAATATATAAATTTTCAAATATTTTGCTTTCAATGTGTATAAAGTATGCAATGAAGTTATGTTGTTCATTAACATATTTGTCATATGTTAAATTAACATAGAAATTAGAGAGAAATTGGAGTGAATAAATTGGAAGATGTGAAATATATGTTAAATTTAACACAAAATTGTATGCAATATATCAATGATAAAAAATATACATAGAAGAAAGGGATATTTTTGTTTGAAAAGTATTTTTATCTTTGACATGTTAATATTCAAATGAGATTATATAGTATTAAACGAAAATAAGAGAGAGAGAGAGGGAAAGAGAAAGAGAGTTACTTGCACCAATACATCATATATTCAATTTAACAAATAATTGTTTAAATTTAGATAATAAAATTCTTTTAATAAAATTATTGTTTATATTTGAAACAATTGTTTCAATAATTGTTAATTTGTATATATTAGTTTCAAGTATCATAGTAAAACCTGGGATATATGACACGCATTTAAAAACATCATGTTCCTAGGAAAATATCTTGTACACTTTCTATTAATAAAAATTATTTTTAATAATAAAAACACAAGTTTTTTTTCGATGAATTATACAAATTATAAATATATCTATGAAAGTAATTTATCTTCGTTTAACGGAGTAAAATTCTATTTAAAAATTAACATGTCCAAAAATAAAGATATTTTCCAAACAAAAATGTCTTTTTTTGTATAGGTTGTTTCACCGTTTAAATTTCAGAGATGAAAGAAAACAAAAATTTCTCGCCTCTCGTATAGTTATGTATACAAAAGTATAACGTTTGGATAAAAATTTCATTGGGAGTTTCATCGCCGAGATATTTAATAAAAGGCAAGAGCGCGAAAATATGGCGGTCGAACGAAACGACACCGAGAAAAGACCTTTTCCGACAGGAATGACGTGCCATTAACTGCATTTAGCAGAGAAAGTTATTTTGTAGTTACTGCAAAATTCGTAAATCTGATCGACATATGTTCTTAGATTCAGCCAAGATTAGAAGCATATCCCATTCAGATTCGCGAATTTTACAACAGCTGCAAAGCAGCTTTCTCTGCTCTGAACGCAGCCATTGTCTCGGGACACTCGGCGTCGACGACAGGCCGTTATATAATACAGCGGCATGAAAATGAAACGTAGAAAAAACAAACACGCGAGAAATACCAATTTACTAGACTCACGGTGGCAGGGAAGCGAGGGAGATGAGACGATTCATCGTAGCGAGATCGTTTTCGTCGTTGCGCGCTACGAATTTCCACAGGTTCGGATGTCGTGACCAATTGACGGTGGCGGTTCATCGTGGGGCCGCTCGGATGAAAAATTGGAGCTTGCGCAACCGTTGATCGCTAATGGTGCCGCTCAGGGTCGCGCGGAAACACGCATCCTGGAGCGCAGATGCACACACGCGAGTAACGTGAATGCAATTCCGCCACTGCTGCTGCAACGATGATACATACTTTAGGAAGGTAAATCGCCGATCAAACGCGATACTTATTAATGAACGACGCCATGAACGTCTCCACATACAACTCTCAGCAATTTCAGCGCGCGCACGTTGCGACGCTGAATCAGATTTTTGCGATTTTGATGTCATTTCAAACGCCATCTGAGAACAAAGATATTTTGATCTAATCTCAAACGCCATCTGAAAGCAAAATCCGACAGCTGGTTATGGCGATCACGTGCGAGGTCTGGCAACCATAACATGAATTTGAATTTTTGAATTTTCGGACATTTTCGGCGATTTGATTCTACACTAATGTTCAATTTCTTCACTTCTGGTTAACTTCATCTATCGATTAAATGTCAACCGTGATTGATTAATTCTTGCTAACCATAAATACGATTGGTAAATTCCAATGGAATAACTGATACATAAAGTTAACCAGAGGTGAAGAATTAAGTATAAGAGAAAAATACCTGAGTTAGTAAAGGAAAAACGTTAGATTAACATCTTGAAATATTGATTTTATGTGTATTTCTCTTGAATGTTTTTGCTTAATATTCCAAAAACAATTCAAAGATATCACGGAACAATGTTTTGTTTGAATATTGCAAAAATGTTTGAGGAATATTGAAATGCCCAAATTATTCATAATACTGATGCAGCGTTAAAAAAAATTACATGAAAACGTCATACGCTATTGAATAACGTTTTAATCTCTTGCTTACTGGATAAGAAATGCAAATATTTATTCGGAAAATACTGATAACATACTTACTTATACCAATATAAAATATTTTTCAAACAAGAAAATATATATTTGTTTTAATCTTAAGAGAGAGAGAAGCTTGGCTTCTCTTAAGGCTTTCTTTAAGTGATTATTTATTCTGTTTAAATAAAAGAATTTAGATTTAAGTAAAAATATTTTATCAGTGTATCCTCCCCCCTCCTGCCAAAGAAATATTCACTATTTTTCAGATATTCTTCTCAGTGTATTGCAAGTTGCATTGTTTATGGATCCCTAGCAGCACAATGCATCGGGCCAATATTGAATCCATAGTGGCTAATGTAAAATCTATGGCGATCAATCGTTGACCAATTAATATGTGAAGACGACGATGAAATAATTGTGTGCGTTGAATGCAGAAATATATAATCAGCGATTGCTACGATCGCGCTGAGGAAGTATCGTGCGGCTATTTAAGGGTGCGCCTCTTGGCGACGGCGAATCCTCGCTCCACGCAACTCTCTCTCCCTCTCTCTTTTCGCCCAACGTGTCTCTCTATTCTGATAAATGAATTTCTTTAAGGTCACATATCGGATTAATCGTTAATGGGCACGCCGTACGCCACGCGCATTAACCGTGTCGCCCCACAGTCGGAGGAAATCCGCCATTCAGGGGCCCCTCAGGCTGGGAACACCGCGCGAAACTTGCTCCAAATTATTATGTAATCGCGCGTATCAACACGCGCACTCGAGAGCGACCTGGGGACGCGATTGACGTAATTCATCGCGATACGTTTCATTCGCAATTTTACCTAATGATGATGTATCAATAACCCCGTTCGACCTTAAGGGGATATCATTTTAGACGTCATTCTGGAAGCTTTTAATCTCGAGGAGAGTTTCTCTCGAAAGAGTGAAAGTAATACATTATTTTGACACAAAGTGATAAGCATGAAAGTCTACCGTTTCAAGGAAGGTTGCTACTTTACGTATTTACAAAAATTAAGAAATATTTAAATAATGATATGAAGCCATATAATCGAGCACTGTTCAACTTAAAATTAATTAAAATCATCTAAAGAATAAAATTTTGTTGATCTCATCATATATTCCTAAAGTGTAATTAAAATAGTGATCTCATTAAGTGTAATCAAAATAGTTTTCTCACGTTCATCATTTGTGTCTCAATACTTTTGTTGAGAAAAAATAATTACTTTTTAATTACCTAATTACTGAATAATAATAATAATTATATGATGCTGATAATTATGATAATAACGTCACTGTTCCAAGTATAATATGCGTCATCAACGATCTCATACGGGACGGCAAAATTACATATTGCGTTTCCTGCTTCAAGGATGCGATAGTAACGCGAGCTTCACCGGCACGATAAAATGCGTAATACAGTGTTATTATATTGTGCGTAGGTGCGTTCGCGCTGGAATCGCTCGAGTAATCGCGTATCGCGTATTATTCTCTATCGAGATAGTGTGGCCACTTTAACCCTTTCGCGCTTAATGAGAGGATCATTTTGTAAAGCGGTCGCAAGTATATTTGTGGAAGACATAAACCGCAGACACGATAGAATCCTATCAAAATACTCGAAACGTTCAAATAAACGCAAATCAGACTAAACATGCTATGCTAAAAGGTACATACAGTTATACACTAAAAGGAAAAATACCTAAAAATAATAATATCTATTCGGTTACTGAGTACTGATAACATATATATCTGCTTAGATCTAATTATTTTGATTTAAACAAAATAAACAATTGTTTCTGCGAAAAGCTAAGATCTTAAAGGAAAATGTATATTTTCTTATTTGAAGAATATTTTATGTTAGTATAAATTAAATATATTAGTCCCTATAGAAAAAAGAAATATTTCTTCTTTCTTAGATATTTTTTCTCTAAATATATAAGAGAGGAGATACACAAAGATATTATCAATTCTTCAATTTTTAACATCCCGAAAGGTCTGAGGCGCTCAAAATCTGTGCATGCATCAATGTTTGGTGTTATTTAATAATGTATTTCGTTCATATATATCGGTGGAAGCAAACTGACGAGTACATGGCGGATCGATACAACAGACGGTCTTTAAATAACATTATTCTATTTGGGGATCGCCTACTCTTTTGTTGCGAAAAACAAAGACATAGGTCGCAATCCATGTAGAACGATATCACAAGGTGACAGAGAGTAACGTGCGATTACACACAGGTTGAAATTCCAAAAGTCCCCACTAAAGTCTTCGAACATCGTACGGCGCTTCGATCGATAAATAGCCTAGTTAATAGAGCAACGATTAACATTATATTTATTTCCTACGAGTAAATGCAAACGACATAATCGTTCAGAACGTAATTGATCGTGACTCACGACAGTAGCTGCGCACATTCGCCGATCAGCGCTAATATCGCGCGAGTGGTTACAAACCTTCAATCTTTATCGCGTTCCATCCATTCATATCTTCCAACTGGACGCTACATGTTAACGCTAAAGGAACAACTGTGCAATCTCGTTGGCTGCACTTTTTTCTGAACAACCATAATCCGCAATCACACAATCGAGTATCTCCGGGCATTTCGTTACCGTATAGAATTTCATACTCCTTTCCCGATTTTCTGTGTACAAAGTGAAATAATTAAAAAAGACTGGCAGTAATTTATTCTACACTTATTATATCACCTCTATCATGTACTCTTATCTAGACGGGCCGCTGCGATACTACACCATACAAATTCGTCGGCCCTTCCTAGATTAACATTCCGTGACCAGGTCTACCTGGAAATATTCAAGATGTTGGAATTATGCGAAAATCTCACGTCGTATCTAAATATATTCTAAAAGCAAGACGTGAATATTTTGTCCCGTATAATTTATATTTTATATACAACTTTCAACTAAACAGCTTTAGAGCAGCTTCTCTGAAGTATTATATAATTATATAATATATATTATGCAATAATATAATATATATATATATATATATATATATATATATATATATATATATATATATATATATATTACACACACACACACGCACACCAACACACACACACATATATATGTATATATATATTATAATTATACGAGACGATGTGAGAAACTAAACAGATTATATAAATATATCTAACTATCGAGTTCGTGCTCGTAGAATTACGAGCAATTTTCGCGGACGCTATCCAAAGTCTTGTTGAAGTAAGATACATGTAATTCCTTTGTTACATTCATTTAACGTTTACTTAAACATAAAAAAAACATAAAAAGAGCACGAATCTTATCGATTATTATGATAAATTTATAAATAACACAATTATTCTTTAAAATCGCAAGTATCTTGTACTAATCCAACATATTCGCACACTATTCACACACATATATATAGACGTTCCTTCGTGCGTTACAAATTATCTATTTCCGAAACCAACCATTTCCAACAGACATTCCCTCAAGCTCTTGAAATATACGTATGAAACACTTCGTGTATGTCTAATTTAATATTCTTTTATCCGCAACATATTCATTAACGAACGAGTTTCGATAATTTTATAGCTACAGTTCGCGACTCTTAATTGTAATTGGAAATGGCGTATTTCGAAAATATGCGATTTGCATATTCTCTCAGTCATCCGAAATATTTCGTCGTCTATAATATTATGCTGGAACATTACAAACTAATGTAACTATTAATAATACTGTCCTACAGCAGTACTTCAATCAATATTAATTACTTTCGTTTTTCAACACTATATATCGAGATTACATACATTTGCTTCTCTCAAAGTGCGAGTTAACAGCAAAAAAGCTTATAGAAATGCTCAACACTCAACACTTGAGGCTAAAGTCTCAAAACTGACATTTTATCTACTATGACACAAGACAAATTGTTATAAAATCCATACTAAACAAGATATTTTTTTCAGTTTCTTTATATAGAATATATTCTATATATTATATAGAATTTATTTAGAAAGAAAAATCAATTCCATGTGTCTACGACACATAGAAATTTGCAAGAGATACAATAAAAGAGTCAAATTTAATAAATGTTGAACTAGTCCCCAAACCGATTAATATTGCTATATAATAATTTTATCACTAAGGATACTTTAATATTTCAATTATTATTTAAGTAATAATGATACGAAGATATTGGACAGTAATATTGTAAAACAGATGTTTGACGTCTATTGAGCCGTAAGACATATTTAACGTTACACAATGATGCTATCTATACTAAAATTACAATAAGTGAATTATGCTAATGAAAAACTCAATAGTCGTTCCACTCCTTTGTGATTAATATTAATAGAGATAAAGCTGCAAAACAATATCGTCATTTCTTTTATACAGACGATATAATATAATAAAAAAAAAAAGAAAAAAAAAATATATATATATATAGTGAGTGCAAATATATCATACACGAAGATAACATCAAATATGCAAAGAACAAATAACTTAATAGTTGTTCCTCTTCATTATAGTAATAATTACATATCGTAGATAGCGTAATATCACTCCATATACAGACGATATTACAATATATCTACAATATATCTATAGAATGATATATACACTAAAAAGATAATAGTAAATAAATTTGTAATAAAACAAATAATTTGATAGTCATATTGCTCGTCAATTAATGACAAGTGGTGCTCCAGCATAATATTCTTTTTATACAGACGATGTTATAATATATATCATACACTAATAGCAAAAGATTAAATTTCACAAGGAGCGAATAACTCAACAGATATCTTGCTCCTTTATAATTAATATCTATATGTATAGTTTATATTAATATAATATCGACGTGCTTCTCAGTATCATCCATTTATATAGGTGTTATTTTAATATAATAAATATATAAGATGAGAATTATATATATATATATATATATATATATATGCATACATATGTATATATACATACGTTTGTATGTATGTATAGATATCTATACATATATAATACATTAAAATAATAGCAAATAAACTTGCCAAGGAGCGAATAACTTAACAGTTGTTTCGTTCCTTTATTGAGACCACTGTGATGTGCAACATATCGTTATTCCTACGCACAAATAATATTATATTTATAATATATATTATATACTTAGATATAATAGCAGATAAATTTTCCAAGGAATAAATAACTCAGTAGGTATTATGCTCTTACATTATTAGTGATAAACCGACATCTGACACTGAGCAACACACGACATCATTCTTCCTACACAAACGATGTTATGATATATTGATATTTCTATGTATTTTTTATATCGCAACATAGCGTTTTTGGGAAATATATTTTTCATAGTTTTTGCGACTGTGTCGTTAACGTATTATCTTATCATTAAAAGCACCAAACTACTAATAAATCATACAGTGTTCTGACTAAAATATTAAGTTCATATTCTGGAAGTGTAACAAAATAATCAGTGCAGATGGGAGAACACCCATATTGGCCATAAAAATTTACAATTTATTATTTATTTATTTATTTACTGCGACGATTCGATAAGATTATGTGCGGTATTCACAGCCTGATCTTATATTATAAGATCGTCTCAAGTTCATCTTAAGGCTCCTGTGTCCTCGCCGCGGTCACCCTGATTTATAACGTCAGAAGAACGAGAAAATATATGCTAAAAATTCTTACGAAATACGTAGAAATCAAAAGATGCGTCCATAAAATAATACTTCCAATTCATCGAGGATATGTGCAAAGGTTGCCTTAACACTTTCTTTGTTCTAACAATTAACCATAACAAGTTCTAACAAGTAACCGTAAAATTAAGATGACAAAATCATAAGGGAAAGTGGATTAAAGAGATAGGTTGCGAGTTATCCTAATTTTACAATAATTTATTAATTCTTAGAGCAAACGAAAAGCGTTCGGACCATTTTGCAAATGTGCCCGATCGATTGCGAGTGTCATCCTGTGAGCATATCTTTTTACTTCAATTATTATATTAATTTATTATATTTCAATTATTATATTTTTATTTCACAAGAATTTTTATTGCGCATCTTTTCACCTCTGACGTCACCAATCGAGAGTTCCGCGGCAAAGGAGCAAGAGCCTTAAGGTACTACAAAGGCTGCTTCACACATGCATTAGCTGCATCTCAAGATAAGAAATCAAAACGACATTAAATACAATATCTAACTGTGAATATCGCCCTACAAGAGAGAGGTGAGACTGAGAGAGATATTTCCAGCATATTTCGCGGCGATTCAGGCTCTTCTCAGGCTGAACCGACTTATGCAGTTCGCTGGATAATGTGAATTCCGCTATCTGTATGCACGGGCGAAGATAGCTCGCCGACCTTCAGCGCGAACGCAGCCTGCTCGAAGGGCTTCTGCATTGCGCCCCGGCTGAAGAGTCCGAGGTCACCGCCGCGCCTCGCCGAGCTGCAGTCACTGTATTTGGAAGCGAGTTCTGCAAATGTCGCCTTGCCAGATGCAATTTGTTCTCTAAAAGCTGCAAAACAATCTCTCAATGTGTGATCTCTCGTGGAGCACAGCATAAGCGACAGCATTCTATTTTTTGTACAATCTACTTCACAAGTAGATTGTACAAAAGATTGCAAGGCTGTAGAATTACATTTGACCAGTTCAAGAGCTTCTTCCTTTGATCTAGTGATGGCGTCCTCTCGCCAGGAGGAAGGTCGTCGTGAGCCTGAATGCTTTACAAGAAGATGAGAGCATTGCACTTCCTCCGGACCATCAACCATGCCATTGCCAGATGGATCGGCTGGCTTGTCAGGCCTATCCCATTGGCTTTCCTTGGTATGAATATTTAAATAATAGTGTTGACCTATAATAGTTCCATATGTTAGAGATAGAAATTCAGAGGCAAGCTTTATCGTATTTATGCATTGTTATGTACATGTAAAATAAATCTTCACCATGAATGAAATGCAGCAAGAAGTCTGTTAAATGTTTCATGAACTTGCTAATAAGTTGAATACTAATATGAATTGATCCTTATAACACACAAATTCCTCAAACCTTATAACAGATTCTTTATTGTGATGATTACAATTTTATTGCAGACTTATGCGTCATTTGGTAGGTTCCGACCGGATTCTGACAAAATGCAATCGTCCCGAGCAGTCATAGGCTCTGACACTCCTCCATTAAATTTCTTCAAATAGAAAATTCGATATACCGATGCTATTGCGTGCCGAGAATACGATCCAAAATAACTCGAAGAAAAGCGATATCCATCGAGTGCATCAAATTGATCGTATCAGCAAAGTATCGGGGAAAAAATGCCGGCCGTATGTACGGGGCGCGTAATCACCGCCGGTGACAAGCGCACCGACGAAATTGCGACTCCAGCCAAATTTGCAAATCATCATTAAAAACTGAAAGTATATCGTCCGTCGCGAAAATCGTCAATCTCGACGTACCTGTCGATCTGCTGAGGCGTTTCTCCCAGCCCGATGGTAGCTCTTCGTCCGCCATTGCCGTTAGAGTATTTTCGGTATTTTGCTTCTTCTCTGGCTCGCGTCAAACGTCGCTCGTCTCCATCGCGCTGAAGCTGGTGTCGCGCTGCTTGCGCCGTCGTGCTGTGTTTCCAGGTCAGCCAACCTGGTGATTACAATTCACATCGGCAAACAGTGTTGCCAGGTGGTTGAAAAATTAGGCAGGTAGATAGCATATCAAAAAGCGGTAGATTTGAAATTTAAAGCGGTAGATCTTTTATTTCAGAAGTTTCGTAAAATATAAGACATAAAACTGATAGTTAATAAAAAAAATATTCTAATTATAAATAATACGAATACCTAAAACAACTCAATAGCAAATAAAAGAGAAATTATACTTATAATGAAAAGTGTACTCGTATTTTTCTGTAATCTTTATTTAGGGTGCGGTCCAAAAACCGCTACAAATGCTGCGCAGCGTTTCTTGTTCTATTTCTCGGATTCGAATGAAGAAAGAGAAAGAAGTAAAAACTCTACAAAGTATTTGCAGCGCCCGCTGGATCATACCCTTATGGAGGATTCACACCGCGTCCGATGTCCGAAGTACGACGTCAAAAAATTCAATTCTTCATTGGAAAGCTGTTCTCTTATTGGATATCGGACATCGTACGTCGGACATCGGACGCGGTGTGAATCCTCCATTAGTCTCATTAAATATCACAAATTTTGTATAAAACTGGTTAACAGAAAAAATATTCCAATTATAATAAGTAATACGAAAGCCAATGCGGGATGGGAACATAGAGTTCCTAGAGATTTTAGTAGGAAAGACGATAAAGCACACACTCTTACATAATGCACAACGCATAAGATAATTAACCAATCAGAATCCTCATTTCTATTGCCACGATAAAAATGAAGGACTCTGGTCGGTCAATTTTCCTATGCGTTTGGCTGTCACAACAAGAGTTGTAATCAATTTGCAACTAATACAGAACGACCTTTTGTAGAACGACCTTTATGCAGGATTTACACTGCATCAAATATTCGATGAACAGCGACCAATTGAATATAAGCAGGCTTCAAGAAACAATAACGTAGAACTAAAAAGAACAAGAATCTTTTATTCTTAATGTGTATTTGAACATTAAATATGCCTTTCTGATTTTCAAGTAAAACTTTATGCAGGACGCTTGTATAAAAAAAATTTTTTTTGAATTTAACGTATTTAATAGACAGCATCCGAATACGCGTCAAGAGTACTGCTTCAAGCATATTTTATGAGACGAATATGATTTACTAGATGTTGCAAATATTTCAAGATGCTATATAGACCAATCATAATTTTTCTTTAAGCGCTTCGAAGTGTTTGTAGCGGCAAATGGATCCTATCCAACGTTGTGCTGGTCACGTTATTACAACTGTTTTCGCTCTTGTCAGACGTCTAGTATGATAGGTTATTTGCAACCTATATTTAACTAAGTTCCTTTCATTTTACATACAATCATCGTATGAAATCTTTGCACATTTTACAGAGTTATAGGAAATTTCGATAATATGACGACCAGGACATTGCTATATCTAGGTGGCACAGCAAATAAATGGTGTGAAGGATTTTCAAATTCTTTTCCATCACTTATTATTTACACATTTTCCTCAAATCTTCCTCATATTTCATAAAAATTTGTCTACGCTTTTCAATGCTCTTTCTTAATGTTATTATATATCAAGACTAAAATAATTACAATTATATATAACCTATTACAAGACTTCTAATTTTATATATTCATTATTGTAAGAATGTTACAAATTTATACAATTTTTATCATAAAGATATACGTTTGTTACATCTCTTCTTTACTATACAACTTTTCTATGATCTACTTTTACTGTAAAAAACTATGCTTTAAAACTGAAATGTACTTGTGAATTTCAGCCTTTTTACATCTGTACAATACTGCAGGCTTCAATTGCAAATACCACAATACAGGCAAATAAGGAACCTGAGAAAATTGGACATTTCCATCAAACAACCAAAATCTCCTTTTCTAAATATTAATTCTGAGACTGGGAACATACAGCCTTTAAAACTATGGAAGCATCTTGCTTTTGCTGTTACAGTAAGCACATAAAGTTTGTATAAAATACTATTTGTGCTTTGTATCATATTGCATCAGAAATTATAAATTTTACATAGTTAAAAATTAAATATATCTTTACATTTATTATATGGATAGAGTTAGAAAATTAATACAGTAATAAAGGAAAGCATATTTTGGCTTACTCATTTCTATATTCTGTTTTGAAATAGCTACATGTATCATTGAAAGTAAAATCTGTATAATGCTGATTTCTAATAATATCTTCTTAAGTATATTTATTCTTAAAGTATTATTAGATAAAGCATTTTTATAATCAGTTTATACTTCTTCCTCACATTAGTTTAGCGGAGTTTCCATGATGGGTGCTGCAATTTGGGAATATGAATATATCAGACAAGAAACACATAAAATACTCCATTATTATAAATATTTACGAATTCATGTATGTATTAGTTGAGGAGACACTCAGCAGATGAGTTTCCATGCATTTTAATGTATATAATAATGCATCACTTAGCGAACAGGATGGAGAGGCGAGATAGAGACATGGTGGAATAACTTGACAGAGGGTCAAAGAATGTTTATGCCCATACTTTTTCTAAATACTATTGTATTCTTGGCTTGGCGAGTGCCAGCATGGCAAAAGGCTATGGTACGCTATTTCACTGCCGATCCCAGCTCCAGTAAGCTATATTATTATCTTGAGACTCTTTACCACGGCTATATTGATATATGACGTCAGAAGCGAGAAAATACACGCTAAAAATTCTTGCAAAATATATAAAAATAAAAAGATGTATCTATAAAACGACACTTTCCTGATCCCAGACAACACAGATCTCTAAAAGACATCTTGGGAGTATCTTGAAGATATCTTTAGGAAGTAGAACGTTCTCTGGTTGCCTTTAAGACATCCCTTGGAGCTCTGTGTTGTCTGGGAGTAGTAAAATAGCCGGAATACATTCTTTTTGTTTTAAAAATTAGTTAATAACAGTAAAATTAACATGACAAAATCATGAAAAAATGTAGGTTAAGAAGGTAGGTTGGGTGTTACGTTAATTTTATAGTTATTTATTGTTAAGACAGAAGAAAAGTATTTCGGCTATTTTAGAGATGTGTTTAATTGATTGCAAGTGTGATTTTATAAATATATCTTTTTGTTTTAACGTATTTTGCAAGAATTTTTATCATGTATTTTCTCATCTTTGAATAATCGAAAATTGCGCGACAAGAAGCTAGAAGTCTTAAACAATTTGTGCAAATTTCTCAGCATTTTTCTGAATATTGATTGGAATAATTTTTATGCAAGGGGTATCATGCTGGCCTATGGTACTTTCCATGTTTTCTCATCTCAGCATATTTCATCTGGCTGGGAATATGTATGTATTACACAGCTTCAGCACGATAGCCGTGTCATCGTTGGGGAAGGAGCAATTTCTGGCTGTGTACTTATCGGGTGGAGTAATCTCTAGCTTTGTTAGCTACTTATATAAAACCGTTACTAGAACAGCAACCATGTCTTTAGGAGCGGTAAGCAACTTGATTAAAAAAAAAAAAAGAACGAAAATGTGAATGATATAATTGTATAATAATATATGTCGTACTAACAAATTCGCTAGTTAAACATTTTTTTATTGTTTTTTATTTGTTTATTCATATTACTTTTACTTCAGTCGGGAGCCATTATGGGTGTTCTTGGATATATCTTCACAGAATTTCCTACCATACCACTGCACATAATTTTTCTTCCTGCAATCACATTTACAGCTGGTACGGTATGTATTATAAATAATATTGTCACACCACTATATTGTAATGTATTCGTATTTCTTACAAGCTAAAATTTTCATTGCAACATTTCTCAATTAGGCATTCAAAACATTAATGGCTGTGGAAGCAACTGGTTGTCTTTTACGATGGAAATACTTTGATCATGCTGCACATTTAGGTGGTGCATTATTTGGAGTGTAAGTTTTGTAATTTTGGTTAAGATTGGTAATTTTAGAAAGATCCTTTTCTTAATGAAGGAAATACTGGTTATTTTTTAAATTTTAATAACTTTTTAAATATGTAACTATCTTGTTTTAATTTTTAAATAGCATGTAGACATATATATGTATATTCAGAATCACTTTTGAAAATTATAGATTCTGGTGTTATTGGGGCAGTCAACATATTTGGGAAAAACGGAAGTCATTTCTAACTCTGTGGCATGAATTACGGGAACCTCGAAAAACCCAATGATATTTTATAATGTATATTCTAAATCTAATTATATTTTCGGCAACAACATATTCTTTATTTGCAGATTGTAAAATTTCTATTTATTCGTGACGTGAAAATATTTTCAGATTGTAAAATTTCTATTCATTCGTATATCACAAGCAGCGTAAAAGTGAAAAAGAATATATTATATATTTTTATTATTTATAGTATCCAATTTTATATAATGAAATATAATTTGTTTCTCAACAAAACAATGATATATGTAGAAATTGCATAACAATTATTACTTATGTAACTTAATTTTTATTTAAAAACGGTTTGGTTTTTTTATTTTAATTTGTTCCTGTAAAAAATATGTAATCTGTTATTTTGAAAATCTTTTTTTCTTAATAAAAGAATAATAACATCAGATGGATCTAACTTTTGAGGAATTTCATATGGTGTTTGAAGTGATCCTCAATAAATGTAGCTATAAAATAATAGCTGTGATCATAGCCTTCCTGAAATCTGAGGACAAGTGCTATGCCATTATCCTTTGTTGCAGCATTTAGTAGATTCTCTGGTAACAATTGTTCTTGTTTTAGGAACTGATCTTCCTTACCCTAAAATCGTAATTTTGTTACACATCTATATGCTGTAGGTATACCATAAAGAAAACTAATCCTAAAATTAGACCTGATCGATTAAAATATCTAAAGGTGGTCCATTATATATTTTTGCCAGTTCGGTAGCATCCCACTGTTTCCACGCGTCATTATCCTTTGTTTCTCCTAGATATCCTGAGAAAGCTTTCTTTCCCCATGGACACTGCATTGGATTACTTATGGGTGCAAATGCTGAGACAGTTTTATATTGTCCAGGGTTTTTAAGAACACATATTAAAGCACCATGCCCTCCCATACTAAACAGGAGATACACAAATGGAAAAATCTTTTAAAAACCATTTACAAAATACTTTTATAAAGAAGTACTTCTCTCTTTTCTATACCTGTGGCCCATGATAGATTGTTTGTCAGGCAAAGTTGGAAATTCTTTATTGATCAGAGCTGGTAATTCCTTGCTAATATAGCTGTACATTCTATAATTTTTCTTCCATGGTTCACATGTTGCATCCACATAAAATCCTGCACCACTGCCAAAATCATAACTGTCATCTTCTCCAGAAATATTTAGTCCTCTTGGGCTAGTATCTGGTATAACAAGCAACACACCATGTTCTGCAGCATGTCTTTGAGCTCCAGCTTTCTCACTGAAGTTTGCTTCAGTACAAGTGAGACCAGATAACCAATAGATAACTGGAACAGGACCTTCTTCAGCTTGAGGTGGCAAGTAGATGGCAAATTTCATTTTGCATCTTAATTCTGTGCTGTAAAATTATTTTTGACATATATAAAATATTTACAAAAATAGTAAAAACAGACAAATTATATTTTAACAGATCATTGATAATCATGTTTTTATATTAATATTTAAAATTAATATTTACCTGTCATGCGAATATACTTTTTGCCATCCTCCAAAACTTTTTGTACTCTGCACTTGCGTCAATGTAGACATTTTGAAGTTATTTGAAATTCTTACTTATGGTTAGATAATCTGAAATATTGTCTTATTTAAGCAAACATTACATTAGTCAAAGATCACAGGAGTTAGATCAACTGTATGTTAATAGTTGGACAAACTACTGTTAAGATTATAACTTCCGAATTTACGAACTGTTATTCATAGATATTGCATACATAATATATCTTTATAAAAAATCTTACTTTAAATAATATATCTGCTACGATAATTGAACTTTATTAGAAAAAAGGATCCTGTTTATTAAATATGGTAATTTTCAAAAAGACGAGCTTCCTCATCGATTTGTCTGAAATTCCAGAATATTGTATATTTTATTGCGCAAAACACAAATATGAAACTTGAAATCGTCGTTCTTAAGTAAGACATAAATTATAAGATGCTAAAAAGTGATAGTTGGGATGGGAAACGTACTATCAGCACACGGCATATAAGCACACACAAAATGCAATTCATTAAACGCTGCAAATACTTTGAAGCATTATATAAACCAATCACAGCTTCTCTTTAAGCACTTCAAAGCGTTTGTGGCGTCTAATGGATCGCGTTTACAATGGTCCGTAAAAGTGCGCGAAACTTGAAATATGGTTTAAGAATATTTAAAAATATAAACTTTCTATAGTTTTGTAATAAAAAGAATTAAAAGAATTAAATAGTACATTTTTAGGGCGATGAGGGCTTTGCCCTATCCCGCTAAAAATCTAATCTAACTCTACCCTCAAGCATTGTGATATTTAATTATTAAAAGATATACACTTATGTACGTACATTTTAACAATAAACATTAAGGCCATTTTATAATTGCGTAAACCTGATTGTAAATAATTACAACACCAATGAGAAAAAGTAATCAGTGAATAAAACACTCTGGTTAGCTCTGGTATGTTCTGAATACGTTTACGTAATTGTAGAATAACCTTATCACAATGCTTTAAGTTAGGGTTAGGTTAAATTTTTAGCGGGGTGAAGGGCAAAGTTCCTATTCCGCCCAAAAATATACTATTTAATTGTTTTATTATAAAACTAGAGTTCATATTTCTAAATATTCTCAAACCATAAGTCTGTCGTTTTGAAAGAATTTCTGAACTAGTGTTATTATTCGCACTCATACGTTCATATGTTTTTCTACATTATCAGTATGACATTTCCTAACCTCACACCTTTTTTTTAGCATTTTATAACTTTTTTTTACTTAAGAGCGACGATTTCAACTTTTATATTCGTGTTTTGCGTAATAAAATACACGATATTTTGAAGTTTTAGGAAAATCAGTGAGGAAGCTCGTCATCTTGATAATTACTCTAGATAAACTTAAGAGAGCAAGTTAAAGCTTTTTATGTAGTTTTTGCATTACTATAAATATTCTTCAACTGTTAAAAACTTATTTTATATTGTTACTTACTCTGTATTGTTCGAAATATGCTGGCGACACTTGTAGTTTCAGCCGAAGCGCTTGCAAGCTCACGATATAACGCAATTTTTATCATAAGCACATACGTTGAGCCGGAAACTCGTGTGTAAACGCACCTTTACATTTGCCAGATCTTACTCTTTCTGATATGACAAATTATTGCATGAAATTATTGTCATTTTTTATTATAAAGAGATAGCAAGTGAAATATGACAAAAATCATGCTTTGGAAGAATGCGTACATTATAATTCACATTTATTCTAATTATAATAGTATTGCAATTATTTTATCACGGTTTCTGTGCAAGGATGGATCGCTTTGACACAGTAGCCTTCTTACAATCACATTTTATACTTTTCTTTGATGCATTGCTTGTTACTGAAATCAAATATAGCAGTTATTAATTATTATTAAGATTAGAAAGAAACAATTTAATAATAAATAAATAAATAAAATGTATTATTTTGGATTGTTCAACTCTGCATTATTCCAATACGAGAATAAAAGAGACTCATGAATAAGCTAAGCACATCAATGGAGATCTAATTTCATACTCTGAGGATATAAATTAATGATGTTAATTATGTTATGATATTAATGATGTTATTTAAAAAGAATAATCCAGGATTTATATATGAAAATATTTTTTCATTTGAGCAATCCAAACAAGAATCTGGTAATATTTAAAAATATTGTAATCTGATACACACATTTCTCGAATTGAGGTTCTATCTTGATTATATTCCCGATGCTTTCTCTTGACGACGTGAAAACGCTCACGCGGCTAGTGCTCTTCAGAGGTTGCTCCGCGGAGTCTGCAGAGCTGTCGCATGAACTAATGGGCGATCTAATCGACGGAGAGAAAAATGGTAACTCGATATTCTTGGCCATCAGTAATTTCTTGACGTACGCTTCGGCTTCCACGTGACGAATCGTGAATTCCGCGATATCTTGAAGAACCAACGCGTTCTGTTCCTGAAGTTCTCGTAGATCTACCTCCCTCTGAGGAGCATTTCAAAATAAAATGATCATTCTTATTATCATTATGTGGAATCAAATGTTACTGTTACCTGTTGCAAAAGCACAATGTCGTCTTTTTTGTAAATATACAAATTCTGTATATCCTTCAGCACTTTACGAAGACATTTGTCGGCTCTAGACATCTTCTCTCCCTGTTCCGCTACCTGTTTCTCGACACTCGATAAGTATCGTTGCTTATTCTCCCTCTCTTCCTTTGCTTTCTCGATATCGTCGAGCAGTTGAGAGTAATCGTTCTGTGTTTTCTATTCAATATAATTTGTAATATTTTTATTTCTATTCTTATTTATAGATTTCTCAAAATCGCCTCTATTTAATTTTGTTTGTGCAACACAAACTCTACTTTAAAAAATTTCTATTCTTAAATTTTATTTCATTTTCTTTTGACTTTTTATCTTATCAGATTGTTTCTCACTTTTTAGAGACGGATATACGCGTGAAATACCTGTAATTCGTCGAACGATCGTTGCAGCTGCGATTGCCTCTGGCATTGCTTCTGTTGCGCTTTGTGCAGCTGCTCGTCGAGTTTGTTCTGTTCCATCTGTTCCGGTCCGTTCTGGTCGACTGCGCCCAGACTATCCTTGTATTTGTCATTGCACACGTTTACCACGCGCAACGTGTTCTCCATACTGCGTATCTCCTGTTCGGTTCGCTTGATGGTCTCGTCCAGTTTGTCGCCTTGCTCCCGCAATAGATATCGTTCCTGAGCGCTCTGTATTTTGAGATACGCGGTGCTCATCGGCACTCCATCCGGGGTGGCGCCGGACGCCGCGACGCTGGTATCGTATCGCGCCTGCAATTGTCGTATTCTGTTTTTCCTCTCGACGATGGCGACACGCAGCTCTGAGCAATCGTTGTTGGCGATTCTCTTCTGCACAGCGAGCGCCTCCTTCTGCGCCGCGATCTCCGCTGCGCGCTCCTTGAGTGCCTGTAAAGAAATGTGGATGAATATCTAACTTAATCTAATTTAGTAATTATTATTATATCGAGTTTTTTTAAATGTATTTGATCTCAGATTATAGGATCATTCATCATTAAACTGATAATAATGATTCTTTTTTATTCATATGAATTAAAATAAAATAATCATATTGGAAGATAACTTACTGCTTCAAGATGAAGACGATACTTCTCTAAATTGTACACCTTGTCGCTCACGTTCGATGTCATTCGCTCGAGCTGTGATACTCTGAGGCGCATTATATTTTCCTCTACTTGCCTCTCTTCATTTCGGAATTGTGCGGCCTTCAATCGCTTCTCGCCTCCGTCTAACAACAGCAACAAGTCTTGCTTTTTACTTCTCAGTCGCTCAATTTCATTATTTTCGTTCGTCAAACAGTTCGATGTCATTCTCATGTCGTGCTAAAAGAATATTTTATTAAATCTCATTTAACTACATTTTCTCCAATCATACTTTGATTACATTTCTTTAAATGTAATTTTTAGTTAGTTAAATTTTCTTCGTACGTTATGAACTTGAGAAAGAAGTAAAGTGTGATAATCACCTCCAAAGTGGCGATCTGGCTTTGCAGCAACTTGGACGTGGCAGTCTTTTCACTCAATACAACTTGTAGCTCTTCTATTCTCTTCTGCTTCCTCTCGATTTCGCTCTTGTCATGTTCGAGACCTCTGATGCGCTCGAGCTTCATCTCGCACTTCTGTAGGTTAAAATCGACTTGATAGAGAGCCTCCCTCTTGTCCTCCAAAAGCTTCTTTTCCTTCGCTAACAATCCAGCCAGCAGATCGATTTTCTTATGTTCACGCTGTGTCTGCATCTGCAGAGTTTTTCTTTCGTGTCCTAGTTCCACAATTTTATTCGTAGTGCGTAAAATCATGGACTGTAGTTGCTTTGATTCTTTGATGATCGTGGCTTTCCGTTTTTCGTTATGCTGAAAGCAATGAATTGTAACAAATTACCACTTTCTCAAAATTAGTTTTACTATTTTTAATTTTAATGTTTATTTTTATTTTTAATGTTTGTCAGTTAGAAATCAAATTATTTATATTATTTATAAAGAATTTATGAAGATATACCTCAATCATCTTTTCCAATCGTTTTGTTCTGTCCTCAACGTTCAACTTTTGACTCTCGATCTCTTCTAACGTTGACGTTAAATCTTCGATTCGCTTCTTGCAATCGTCCGCCTTTGTCCGTTTGTCGTCAATTTCGATTTTCTTCCGTTTCGTGTTGGCGCGAACTTGCTGCACACGACGTGCCAGATCTGTTACCAACTTCTTTTGATGATAGACCTGTTCCGACGATGAACGATAAGTAAGCAATTTGTTTTATAAAATTACGAAAACAAATTCAAATAATAATGTAAGTAGTTATACATATTTAAATTACTTCGACGTTGTAACTATCGATCATCTCCGCAGTTTTACGTTGTTCGTCTCGGATAGCAATAAGTTTCCTTTCTGATTGTTTAATCGATTCCTCTAGTTGCTTGTTGTTCAAAACTTGATCTTTCAAAAACTGTTCAGCTTCTTCGAGGTTCCTTTTCTTTTCTTTATCGATCTCTCGCAACGTCTCGATCTCCTGCAAACAATTAGTTGCAGAAGTATAGAATAATTTATATCATTATAAAATAGAGAGAAATTTTTGGCATCAATTAAATTAGTTTTCATTTGTCTTACTCTCAGACAGTTTTGTATGTCGTTGTCTCTTTGCCGCAGAACGTTTACGCTTTGCGTCCACTGATTTATCATCTGCTTGCGCTCCTTCAACGCCTCCATACACAATTTCGCCGTGCGATCCAGGACGACCTCCAACTCCTGTGCTTCGTCGACGGCTTTCACGGTAGCTTGACGATAAATTTCAAGCTCTGTACTGAGCTTCTGCCGTTGCTGTTCTAATTCCTAAAAATCGAATTGTTCTACCTTCGCATATCATGTGAACTCAGGAAAAGAAGATCATATATGAATTTTGTCCTTACATGGATATATATAATCATACGTAATTATATATGTCAACAAAAAAATATATATGTGCAATATATTATATATGTACAACATATATTATATATGTACATATATTATATATGTACAACAAAAAAATATTTATACAAATAGAATGTATTCGGGGAGCTCGCTATTAGCGCTATTCAGCGCTACCGTGTCATTCTATCCTTGTTATATATTTAAGGAGCGATAAAGATAGAAGAACGCGGTAGTGTTGGTAGCGTGCTCCCCGAACGCACCCATAGTATATGTTCGTGCTCCTAGCGACACATGAAATTTTGTTCGACGTTTAATTGAATGAAATTTCCTTCCTATTTCCTTCTTCAATTTAACATTTAACATCACTTTTTCCATAATTGTTAAACATCAGATATAATTATTCTTTCCTAGGAAGATAATTATTTACTTATAACTGATATTAGCTGATGCTTTGGTCATTTGTATACCTTATATTTTTGCGTGTCCTGCTTCATGTAACTTTCTATCAGCTGATTATCCTCTTCCTTACGTGTAAGTGTTTCTTCCCATTTGCGCAGGCTGTCCTCATCAAAATGAACTATCTGCTTGGTCTCAACAAGCTTTTTGCTTATCTTCAGCAGCTCCTTCTCCACATTTGAAACTCTGCAGTTCACATCTGTCCATTCCCTTTCAAATTCGCGTGCTTCTTGGCGCAATGATGATTCCATATTGCTGCTTAAGTGGTAGAGATGATTTTCTGCCTCCAGCTGGATCATGTGTTCAGTAAGTAGCTTCTGGTTGAATTCGTGACGCGACGCGATATCGCTAGCGTGCTGTTTGATCATCCTTAATCGTTCCTCTAGGTTTTCTAGTTTTGTGTTCAGCGACAACCTGCATGCTGTCTTTTTAACAATCTATAACACAAAAAAATAATTTGTAATCTTGAATTAGTTTTTTAAATAATCTTTAACTAGTTTACATGCAATATTAAAATTCAGTTTAATTTATTGTTGTACAATTACTTCTTGTATATCTTATTAGTTTCAAGCTGTCTATTCAATAAATAAAATCAGATATTTCTGAAAAAAATCTATTTGAAATAATAACTATCTCTTTATTATTATTTTACAGTTTAACTCTCATACATCCAAGAGATCTGCTATTGGAACAAGTAGGATTTACTTGATACATTTTTTTAATTCCCAAATCATCTAAGATATCATAAATTACTTCAGTTAGAAATTTATTTTACACTTAAAATCCATTTTTTGTTTTAATTAAAGAAAGATAAAGGTAAAAAGTTGAGAGGAAACTATGAGAACTGTCACGTCTGACATATATTTACTTCTTCCTCCAAACGTTTGTTTTCCTCATTAGCTACAGGAATTCTAAAGCCATCCTGCCAGCCCAGTTGGCTCAGAATCACGTCTATGTCGGTTGTCGTCATCGCAATACTGTTTTCTGCTAGAAATGAGTCGTAAAATTAATCTTAACAATCCAAGAATACTGTACCGGGATACGCGAAACGCGGCCAAGTTTGTATTTACGCGTCACCAAGGTAACCGACAGTACCGCCAATGCAACGGAGCAAATGGCCTCTTTTCCTTCATGTCGACCCAACGATACCGACCAATCAGAGCGTCGGCAAATCTCTAGTGTCTTCTACGTGCGGGACTACAATTTCACTTGCGTTGGTGGCCCTCTAGGCGCTCTCGCGGCGGTCGCCGACGTGCGCGACTTCACCTCGATGGCAACAAAGATGGTGGGCCCAGTGTGTGCATCGGGTGTGTGTCTCCGCTGAGGCGCGTTGACGTCCGTGACGAACGTCGTACGGCTTGGACGGCGGGCAGCAGCAACAACAGCAGCAGCAGCAGCAGCAGACGCGACCAGTGAGCGAACGAGTGAGTGTGCGACTGCGATCACGCAATTGTGTGCCGCACGTCTGCGTGCGTGCTTGCAAGTGAGCGAGCGAGCGAGTGTACGAGCGTACGTCTGTCCGTCCGTCCGCTCGCCCGCGAATAAGTGCGTGCCTGCTCGCCTGCCTCTGCGTGAGCGCGGGGCCTGGCCGCCGCGTTTCCGACTCGAGTGCGACGAAATATGTCAGAGGCTCCGGAAGCATGAGCGAGGGAGCGGACTCGGTTGCGCAAACCTGCGGGGATTCGCTCACGACCTTGACAGACGAAGGCGAGCGGGATGCAGCGACGACCGCGACGGCGACGCAGCCGTCGCAGCTGCAGCAGACGCCACCGCCATCGACAAGGGCAACGTACACCGGTAGGAGGCCGCGCTGTGGCACCGGTGGTCCACCGCCATCGCCCTATATGTGGATCGACGGCCGGCAGTTGCGAAGCGCCCTGGTCTGGGTCAAGAAACCGTCCGAAGTTAGCGATCCGCCCCGACGAGTCAACTTTCCTTTGAGCGACAATCATCTGGTGACGGGCTACTTGGAGCCTGCCAATCCTTGGCGACACGGTGAGTGTCACACAGTAGTTTCTATCTCGGGTTTTGCTGAATGCACTTGGAGAGGTACGCCTTGGAGTACTCTGGCTTGAGTAGCTCTGGGCATCAAATGTGAATCTTTTCACATAAATTTGATTGTTTCTTTTTTTTTAATTGTTTTTAATTGTGTAATTATTTTCCCTAGTATGAGATCATGAAAAGTGTGTAATTTTGCGGTACTTGGAAGCGAGCGTGAATTTTTTCCTTCATAAAGTAAAAAATTCAGTATATTCAGTAAAAAGTGAGTATGTCCACATATTTTCAAGATTAGATTTTTCATTTTTCATGAGTTCACACTAAGGGAAAAGATTTGTTATTAATCTCCTGGTTGGGGATTTGATAGTGTCTATGACAGAAATAAGAGAAAAGAATCTGAGAACCTATAAAGATTCAGTTCTATGATTTGTAACAGCTCTATGATTTGATATAGAATTGTTGGAGATGATTAGCTCAGTATTTTTATGATATTAGAGCATTGTTGATGCTTGTTCTCAAAAATTTGAAGAAGGCTTTTAATATTTTATTTAAGATATACTGCGTTATAGATATTTAATATTATAATTTTCATGGATATCAAATTTGATGCTAAAGTCATAATTTTTTTTTTTTAGGGCAGGGAGAAATTTTAATATAATGTAATATAACTTTACCCTGAAGATACTTTACTTTACACTGAAGATAAGGAAATATTAATGGAAAGTTTAGGATTAAAATTGTTATGGGAGGTATATTATTGAATAATCAATGAATATTATTCATTGAATTAAATACATCTTATTTTCTTAGCTATTTTTTAGTGCAGTTATATTTTGCCACTATATACCATTAGGTTTTTTATAGACTGTCCTAAGTGAGAGATTTCGCAATGTGAACCATGTACTAATTATAAGTTTGACGTGATGTTAAAGTCTATCTATACAATATAAAATGAAGCTATAACAATTATCATCTTTCATGATTTAATAATCACGTCAAGTGTGATAAAATAATATTGTTCAAATAGCAATTGTAGATTGCTTTCAATTTTTAAATGCACAAATTCTCTATCTCTTGTATTTTGAATAAAGACCTTTCTGAGATTGGCACTTATGATTATAATTCAGACTATGTATTAAGAAGTGGAATATATAATTGTCCCCAGCTGAAAATGTGAGTCGCAAGGATTTAATATTCGCATACAAGGAGTCCTGTGCGCGTCACAACACTGAACCCTTGCAAAATGTTTTAGCACAGCTCGAGGTAAATATATCTCTGTTCCTTTGTTACTCCACACTTCTACATATAATTCTTAATAGTTCATTCTTTCTGACATAAAACACAAGCGATGTTAAATTCAGGTGTGAGCATGTTGCAACAAAGTAATTTCACAAGGACCAATTGTATGTATATGGAAGTATCGAGCTTGTTCACTTGACCAAAACCAGCTGAAATGTAAACGTGAAGTTCATTACTTATTCTTCCTTTATCACGGCATTTTGGACACGCTACTTGTTTTAGCAATCTAGCGAGATCTAGCGAGATTTTCTTGCCAGATACATTGGGCCTTAATAGTGCATGGACATAGCTCTGCTGCTTTCAAGACGGCATTTTACAAGTTTTCCTCAAACTTCCACATCCAGCCAATTTTATGCGGAAGAAAGTCTTTGTTTATTTCTATATACTTTCGTTCTTGTTACATAGAATCTGGATATATCTCACGATCGTTCTGAGGAGCTGAGCTTGGAGGGAGAAACTTTGGACCAGAATCATTGTGAGCCATTGGAGGAGATACTGAAGAGAGTACAATTTAACAGAATTAATTTAGAAGGGACATCTTTAAGCGAGGAGGTACTTTCCCGAAAATTATATTCAATTACGAAATATTTCCAGCGGATTAATATTATTGATTGTAATTTAATATGTACGTAATTAGAATACTAATGTGCAGTTGTTATTACAGAGCTCTATAATATTATTTGATATGCTGGAATACTATGAATCCACAAAACACTTAAATATCTCGTCTAATCCAAATATTGGGCCACGCGGCTGGCAAGCGTGTTCGCACATGATTAAGAAGGTACTTCAATTCTAGATTCAATTCTTTCAAAGAAAGCATTTAATTCTAAACAAGAAAACCCACGCAAAAGTGCCTCCTGCCACATATTGATATTAGCTCATTTTTATTTTTGCTTGCTCATACATAATCTACTTAAATACTATTTAGTATATAGGATAAAGAGTATTATCATACTGTTATATCTAAAGTAAATTGCTAAGAATGCAATTAACGTGCAGTCCCATTTGTTTAGACTCAGTGTTTAGAGCAGCTCGAAGCGAGGGATGTAACGCTTAACGAACAATACATGAACATTTTGAACCGTGCATTGCGATTAGTCTGTCATCTGCATGTCCTTAAATTGGAAAATTGTGGACTGTCGGGGAGAGCAATCGTCATTCTTGGTATTTATTGCATAACAATATATTTCTGTATGTTTAAAATATTGTATTATAATGATATCACTAATTCAATTGTGTCGTTTTAGTGATTCGTTGTAACAATATTTACTGGCATTTAGAATTTATAAGAATAAAATAATTCGTATCAAAACATTAATTTCACCGAAATTAAAAATACGAAAACGTAGATTTTTTTTTTTTTTTTTTTTTTTTTT